CGGGGACAGCATCACACGAAGAACAGATTCACGGACTGACCATTGGGAATTGCAAAATTTTCCTCTTTTTTTATTATATTATTTTATTTTAATTTTCAGATGGGCCCCTAATTTGTAGCTCTGGCTCATGTGGGCCCCATTGTTTTAATTATGTTGTAATCATTTTATTCCTGATGTTGATCAGAAGAAAGGAAAAGGGTTAAAAAGGTCCCAAACTTTTCTTCTTCTTACCTTTTATAAATTTCAACTCTCCATTGTGTTTGAACTTTGAAATTTCAACTTTTATTTTTATATAATATAATATTATTAGTTTGTTAATTCCAAGAAGAAGAAATTTTAAAGTAATTTTCTTCACACGTTTGTACAAAGTTAATCACAATCGCATCAATTTACCCCTTTTTGCTCATTTTTGGTCCACTTTGTCAAAGAATTACAATTGATATTGCTTTTTTTTTTTTTTTTTTTTTTTTTTTTTTTTTTTTTTTTTTTTCTGATTCTTAGCTCGTTGTCGCTTGTATTATTTTTCTGGTGTATGTTGTTGTTGTTGTTCTATTGTCTCATTTCATCTTCTTATGTCGAGGGTTTATCAAAAACGACTTATTTTCCTCCAGGGTAGAGGTAAGATCTACGTACACACTACCCTCCCCAAATCCCGCTTGAGTATTATACTGAGTTGTTGTAGTCCATTTAAAAAAGTTTGGCATATTCTTATATTTTTTTAATGAGAAGTTTTTATAACCAAACAAATATTATGACTTGTTTATGACCATATGTTTCAAAAAAATTTATAGCCACACAAATTATATGATATATTTAAGACCATAAATTTTAAAACTTTTCGTCTCTTTTTTAAAATTTGTGTCAAGTCAAACGAGGACAAACAAATTGAAAAGGAGGAAGTAGTAATTACAAGACCCGTGAAATTCTTTTCTCACCAGTATTTTCTTCTATTTTCATTTCCTCTTTTTCCTATTAATTGCTCATTCTTTAATAAATCTTTAAACATAGAATTAAAGTTTTCTGCAAATCATTTCTTCAGCCACTACATATGCACATTCAATTTATTGACCTTTAACTAATAATTGGAATTTATAACTACATTCTTTATTAGTATTTGATTTGATTAGTAATTAAGTGGAGAACACTACTTTTGCTCTTCACTAAAAATGGAAAATATTCATTTGCTTCGCAGTGGAAAAAGCAGATATCACTTTTACATTATAGGCAAACCTGTTATTTTATTATTATAATTTTATTTTTTTGGCATTGCTGAAAATGAAATTATACCAACTAATAATAGATGTCTGTACGGGAAAGAGCCATTATTATCTACAAGACGATTGGAATATCCATTATATAAAAAAGTATATGCATATTTGGATGGATGATTCTTCGTTCTTAATTAATCAAAGGTGCGAGCGTTGGTAACAAATAAATTATTTGTAGGAAGCATTTACTTTTTAATGAGCTATGCTAGACGTGAATTCAAATTAGCCGAACAGTAAATACGTAAAAGAAAAAAAAAGTTACTAGTACTCTAGAGATAATATATTTAGTCAGTGGAAGTGAAGAAACACTTTGACTTAGCTTCCATCCATTTCACTTCAATTTGGACTAAATAGAATTCCAACAAGAATTTTTTTTTAATAATATGGTCGTGGTATGTCATTACGTGCGACTATCTCCACTATAATTTTTTTTTTAGTAAAGTAACTACTGCGACCAAGTAAACTCCCAATTTTTTTAAATATATACATCGTCTAAAACAATAATTTTTTTATCAGTTGCAATAAATAAGAAACAATTCATTGCGTTTTCTTCTAGACTTCCTAGTTAAATCCATTTTATTATTTAGTAATGAGCCATAACACTATGTATATATTGCATGTACTTATGCGCGCGCGCGCGCACACACATACATACATATATATATATAATTCCAAAGAAAAAAAGAAAATTAAGAGTACGCGTGCTAAAGGTTTCAAGTTGAGCAGGACCAAGACAAAATACTTGGAGTGTAAGTTCAGTGACGAGACTCAAGGAGGGAAATGGGAGGTGAGGTTGGACTCGCAGGTCATCCCTAGGAGAGGGAGTTTTAAGTACCTTGGGTCTATTATTCAGGAGGATGGGGAGATTGATGAAGATGTCACACATCGTATTGGGGCAGGATAGATAAAATGGAGACTCGCTTCCGGTATTATGTTTGACAAGAAGGTGCCACCTAAGTTCTACAAAGTGGTTGTCAGACCAACGATATTGTATGGGGCTGAGTGTTGGCCAGTCAAGATCGCTCATGTCCAGAAGATGAAGGTAGCAGAGATGGGATGTTGAGATGGATGTGCGGGCATACTAGATTAGAGATAGGATCAGAAATGAGGTTATTCGCGACAAGGTGGGTGTGGCCTCTATTGAGGACAAGATGCGGGAAGCGCGACTTAGGTGTTTGGTCATGTGAGGAGGAGGAGCACAAACGCCCCGACGAGTAGGTGTGAGAGGTTGACATTGGAGGGCCTACAGAGAGGATGGGATGGGCCAAAGAAGAGGTGGGGAGAGGTGATTAGGCAAGACATGGCGCAACTTCAGATGACCGAGGACATGACCCTTGATAGGAAGGTATAGAGATCGAGGATTAGGGTAGTAGAGTAGGTAGTCTAAAGTGTTCATAACAGTAGTATTGGCACGCAACCTCGCTCTCTGTTGGTAGTAGGTTTTTATGACTAACCGTTGTTTTCTTTCATTGTTGATCACCTTACTATCTGATTATTTTTATTTTGCTTTTATATGGCTTCTTGGTACTGTCCCTTCTTGTCTATATTTTCATTAATGTGGTACTTATGCTTTCCTACGCCGAGGGGCTATTGAAAATAATATCTCTATCCTTACAAAGTAGAGATTGTAAGGATAGAGATAAGATTTGCGTACACACTATTTTTCCGAGACCCCACAATGTTGATATTATTGAGTATGTTGTTATTTGTTGTTGCAAGAGTATGCGTGCTCATTTCACACCTAATAAAAATGTAGAGGGAACGATGATATACTCCACGAGACTTGGCGTCATACTTACTAAAAATGGAAGCAATGATGAAAACAGCGTATTTCTGTCTTATGTAATGTGTTCAAAATTTAATGCGAAAACGTTATCTACTCCAATATTCTCATTCTACTCTGGCAATGTCATCATTATTACAATTTAATTTGACCAAAGGATGACCATAGAAAATCAATAAATACTATAGTTGGAGATAAATTGAAATATCTTTACATAATTTATTCGTATGCCCTTCTCATACCTATGATAATGTTAAATCACAGACTGAATTAAATTCATTACTTTTATATTGAAATATATTTATATATAATAAAAAAATACTAAACTATGTGCATATAATAAATTTACACTTATTCAAAGCTCACTAACTCTCGAATTCGCCTTCATGTGTCTCAACAATGTTTTATAAGGCGACACCATTTTGTAGGACGCGCGCAGCTGCAAGTTTTTGTTTTAGTTGATCTTTATAATTACATAATATAAATTGATATATGAGTCTAATGTGTGAGAGTTTTGCATCAGAAGAAAACTAAGTTACATATAATATAAATTAAGGATGAGCTAAGCATTAACATTATTTTGGAAAATGCAGATAATAAAAGGAAGAAAATGAGAAGCTGCATAAAATTTTCATTTCTCTAATTAATAATAAAAAAAACTATATATGCTAACTGTGTATTTTCACATTAATTATTAATGTTTTTTAATATGTTATAATATGTTATTTACTTCATTTTTCATATCACCATATCTGACTTGATATTAGTAATTATCTTAATACACGTCATTTCACAAAAAAATTACACTCAAAAAGAAAACATAAAAACAGAAAACAAACAGGGAGGCATTGAGACAATTTCGGTGGCTGTAAATTCTGAATCTCGTAGTTACAATATTTTGCTTCTATTTTTTTAGTATCCTCTTAAATTATCATCTGTCTTGATAATTGGAATTTAGCTCGAAAAACTACAAAATGACACAGAGCTCTACACATTCTGGTTACAAGCAGCATACAGCCAATTCTACATATATACAAATAAATATTTTAAAAAGGACGTATTCTTTTGAAAAATAAATATTTCATGACGGAGAGTTTCTAGTCTTGGAACAACGGTAAAGTTATTTTCGTGTGACCTTAATGACTTATAGGTCACGAATTTTAGCCGTAGAAACAGTCATTAATGTTTGCATTACATCACACCCCTTGAGGTACGATCCTTTTCAATACCCTATATCAAATTGCGGGATGCTTTGTTCACCGAACTTTTTTTTTTTTTATGATAGAGAGAGATCAAAACAAAAAGGTGGCCCAGCAGCTAAATCTATGGCTGACCGACTTTGAAATATAACAACATAAAGATAAAAGGACATTGAACAAGAAAACTTGTAAGAGAGAGAGAGAGAGAATTAATAGAGAGAGAAGTACTGTGTTTTTTCTGTGCGTGTATGTGTGTGTTGGTTAGAAAAAGAAAGGAAATATTCTCTTTTGCTTTCATGGTCTTTTTTTGGTGTTTTCTTTTTAAATCACACAAACTTTTCTCCAGCTAGCAGACTCAGAAATCTTAGCTGTGATACAAAGCCAAGAAAACCTTCACAAGTTTGAAATAAGCCTTAGGTTCTTTGTTTTTTCTTGGTGTTTTAAAGATTCAGAAGTTTGTGTTTTTGTTTGTTGTTTGGCTATACACACTTATTCTTACTTTGTTCTTTTGGAACAATCTGAAACTTCTGAGATTTGAATAATACCAAGTTTTATTTATCTGTTTGTATTTGGGAAAAAACTTAAAACTCTTTGAGTTAGCTTTGTTTTTTAGCTCCACTGCTTCTTTAGTTGCCAAAAACAAAAACCCCAATATATCAAATGATGTCTGGTGATATCTTTTCAATTCCTTCTTCTGTCAAAGGAGTAGTACTACCTCATCATCCTCAAGATGTATTACTTGNACTCTTGCGGTCCGGCCTTTCCCCGAACCTCGCGCATAGCGGAAGCTTAGTGTATCGGCCTGCCCATGTTCTTGTTATAATACATGACCAAGAACTTTTTTTTCTTTCTATGTTGACAGATCCAGATGCTGAAGTTATTGCACTTTCACCAAAAACACTTATGGCTACAAACAGATTTATATGTGAAATCTGCAACAAAGGTTTTCAAAGGGACCAAAACTTGCAACTTCATAGGAGAGGACACAATCTACCATGGAAATTAAAGCAAAGAAATAAACAAGAAATAGTGAAAAAAAAAGTATATATATGTCCAGAAAAGAGTTGTGTACACAATGATCCTTCACGTGCACTTGGAGATCTTACTGGTATAAAGAAGCATTTCAGTAGGAAACATGGTGAGAAAAAATGGAAGTGTGAAAAGTGTTCAAAGAAATATGCAGTTCAGTCTGATTGGAAAGCACATACTAAGACTTGTGGCACTAGAGAGTATAAATGTGACTGTGGAACTCTTTTTTCCAGGTAATTAATTTCCCTTAGATTGGTACTATGTAACATGTTCTTGTTTAGGAATATTTGTTTCAAACTGAAATAAATGCTAGCTCATTGATTCATTCATAGGAAAGTAGTTTAATTCAATGACTTTGTACTGATTCAATTTATTGCTCCTCTTGAGTTCTGACCACAAATTATCAGCTATTAAATTGTTTGATATTCCATGTGTCTGTTATATATGCCTTAATTTAATGTTGGGTTTTCTGTTTTTTCTTCCATTTTACAGGAAAGATAGTTTCATTACACATAGAGCATTCTGTGATGCTTTAGCTGAAGAGAGTGCAAGAATCACTTCAGTGGGAACTTGTAACAATTTGAACTTCAACCAGCAACCAAATTTGGCTGGTCGAATTTCCCAAATTGGGACAGGTTTTGCACAAGATTTTAGTGGTATGACAAGTGGGAATTCTCTACATCATCAGCAACAAAAACCAAGATTATCACTTTGGTTAAATCAAGCTAATAATAATTCCCAGCTCAATAATACTCTTCACATGTCAGCACCAAGTTCAAATCTTTTTGCTTCCTCTAGCTCAACTGGATTACCAGATCATATGGTCCAAATGCAATCTCCTAATAATGTCTTTGGTAATCAAATGCAATGGGCAATTGACAAGAATTCTGCAGCCACTACCCCTGCCACTTCAATGACTAAAACCTTATGTTCAATGTATTCTGATAATCAAAATCAGCACCCAAAATCTTCAACACCAATGTCAGCTACAGCACTTCTTCAAAAAGCTTCCCAAATTGGTTCTACCAAAAGCAGCCCAACTTTCTTTACAAACACTTTTGGTGTAATGAACTCTTCATCTTCTTCCTCAAACACACCAATGTTCAACACTTTGTCCCAAAACACAAGTGAAATGCACCAAGTTTTTGCTAAACAATCAGAGGAATACAACCCAACAGATAATGAGCTCCTTAATGGGTGTCCAAATATGAGTTCATTAGCTAATACTAAAGCAATCAATTTGGATCAGGCATTAATGCAAACAGGTGGTATGCAAACTCAAGCTGTTTCGTTCAACTTCGATAACAGTCTAACCAGAGATTTTTTAGGCATGGGAAATGAAGGGGGACGGCCATTTTTGACACCAGAACTGGCTAAGTTTGCTTCAATGACTTCAGCTATGGGGTTAAGCCATTACAGTAGTGGTCACTAGCAATATGTCTTTTCACTTATCTTTTTTTTTTTGTATTACAAAATACAATAATGTAAAATTTGAACCTTATCTTCGAGCTGGCTGGCTCAACCTATTGGTTATATTTCTTTTTTCTTTTTCTTTGCATTAATTTGGATATGTTTCTCGAGAAAACAACGACAACAAACTCGGTGTGGAGAGAGTAATGTGTAAATAGATCTTACACCTAGCTTATAAAGATAGAGAGATTATTTTTGATAGAACTTCGGGTCAAAGAACTTCTTGAAAATAAAACGCTTTTCAAAAAAAAGATATAAATCAGCAAGCATATTCAGAATTTAAATTTACTTTTAGCATAGTATTCTTTTGTTTTTTTCTGACTGTTGTTATGAATTTAATATAAATATTTATTTTTAAAACTTTTAATAGTTGAGCTTGAAACAATAGTTGTAGACATATTGACTGCATACTTTAATCTCACCGCTATTTTTTGACGAACGTAAACTAATTTCTCCCCCTACATATTATGAAAACAAATCAAGTAAACAAAGATGAAACTGATGAGATTTGAATTAATGGTAGACGTTAGAAATTTTGCTAAGAATATTCAAATGTTATTATATGTATAAATAATAATGTTTGACATATATACGTAATTTTTAGGCGAAAAATATTCTAACTTTTAACTGCACTCTCCTACTTTGAATCCTAAAATAAGCTGGCTGGCCTACTGTGGTGATAACCAAGTTAGGTCTTATTAGTGCCAGGAGGTTGAACGTATGTATTGCTAAAAAGTTGAAATTCAACCATAATATAACAAGTTGTTTTTGTTAATTATGTACCAAAAAAAAAGAAGGTAATCCTCAAACCAAACATGATGATCTTTTCGAGAATATTTATAATTGAGCAAAAATCACTTTTAGTCCGCGTTCGTAACTTTTTATATTCGATAATCGCAAAAATATATAAAATATATATATATATATATATATATA